GGTTAGGAAAGGAAAGGAAGGAAAATTTCCAAGAATGGATGGTTGGTTGGTACCTAAAGCAGGCAGGCAACTTGAACTTTACTTCAAAGCAATGGAAGCAAGCGAGATCAATCCACGTTTCGTGTCTCATGTGTGTGTGTGGTGTGGTGTGGCAAGGTGCCGTGTTGTTTTTCCCTGGGGCATGGGACAGTGCTTGCAGCGAATACGCAGTATGACGAACGGGAAAATAACGGGCTGCTGAATATCCGGAATGAAAGGAGAGGAATGTGATGCTCTAGTTTTTTTTGCTGTGTAGTGACAGACGGGTAGCCCTCCGTCCAGTGGTAGTAGTTACATTACTAGGGCAAGGGAATTTACAGTGCGCAGTGACAGCAGAGGATAATTAGCCTTTGGGCAATAAGTGCGTTGCAATGAGAGCTTGGTTATTTGCTTGTTTCTATTCGTGTCCTGCCAGTGCTTTTTTGTCTTGGTCTGGGGAAGCAAGTATGGTATATGAGTGGAAGAGTGAGATGTGATATCATCCACATGGAATGTAGCTGGGTATCCTGGTAGGGAGGAGATACAGGGTAGATGAAATGACCTATGGTTTGCTCTCTGGTGGGTTTAGCGATGGAAGCATTCGCGAACTATTCTAGATAACGACGCTTTCCTAGGCGGTGGGAGATGGGGATGGGGATGGGGTAATTGGAGAGCAAGCCGTGTTTCCAAAGAGCCGTGCCCAAGGTTTAGGTTGTAAGTGGTGTGTGAGTGAATCGCCGAGCAAGTGTGTGTGTGTGTGTGTGTGTGTGCAACCGGGACTTGTGTTCGGCGAGATGGGGCTTGTGAGGCGAGGGAGATGAGGCAGTTGTAGGCGGACTGGTAGGCAGGCAGTCAGGCAAAATCGAGTGATGCCGATGCGAGGGCGGTTGAGCAGCAGGCAGGTTGATGCGAACTTCGTCTCGAAGAGGTGCCGTAGGGCACACACACACACACACACACACCGCACACATGCATCTTACCCTGATCTAGCCGGCACACGCTGCAGCTGGCAGATACCCTAGATGCTGCGCTGCAATGGCGGGGGAGGTGCAGTTGTGTAAGCTGCGGTTGGCGGCAAAGACTTGACGATGACCGAAGATCCGGATAGCCATTGATCGATCGTGTTTACCTTGCATGCCAATGGCAGATGATACCTAGGTAGGATGACATCTCAATCTCGCGAGCCAGAAGAATTTGCCGTGGTTTTTCTGATGTATGGGCGTTATGTTGTTGGCTACGAGGTGGGATTTGGGCGCTGCCATCGTTGCTAGAGTGTTGATTCCTGGAGGGGGGAGGAAGCGATCTTGGAGGGGTTCAAGCGAAATCCGCCAGTTCGTGTAGGTAAGGTGCTTGCTTCGCCTCGCCAGGTGGCTTTCCCTCGGGCATGGCAATGAGTGGTGAGCCTATATCTGATGAGTCGCTTCGCGATTGGATGTTGTGGTGCGGTTAGAGACGGGGAGTAAGAAAATGAGGAGAAAGGGCCGATCCGTTCAGGGGAGAATATCTTAGGATGGGTAGTGCTGCGGTTCTAGTGATCATGAGGGAGAGGCACAGAGGTAGCCGAGGCAATGTGATTGCAATTGAAGCGGTGTTGGTCTCTGCCAGCGTTTCTGCGGTGGCTTTTCGGTCATTCCTCTTCGTGTCGGAGATGCTGAACAGATTCAGCTTGGCTTGCGATGGTAGCGCTAGGTTGCCTGCGCTAGGTTGTCCGACGATGTGCGTCGCGGCTACGCCTCCCTGCCGAGTAGCGAAGTGGGAAGGGTGATGGCAAAGGGGGACGAAAAAGCAAGAAAGTTGGAGTCGGAAACGGTTTCCTTCCTGAACTGGATGGTGGGGTGCAAACGGAGGGGTGTCATTGGTTGGCTGAATGGGGCGGATCGATCTCGTCCAAGCCGACCGCAATCTGGAGTGGCGGGCCGCAGCGTGTCAGGTCCCTGGGACTCGAGCGACAAGGGGCCACACTGAGCACGGCCACGCCGATTGGTGAGGCGTTGGCAGTACTGAGTACCACAGCGCTTTGGAGTATCCCCACCCCTTCTGAATATGCGGGGTAGCGAATGGTCGCAGAGGATGGAGGCAACTGAAAAACGTGGAGATGCGGGGAGGTGAGGGTGTAGACGAGCGCGCGCAGTCAACCAAAGACTGAGAACACACCTGCCTTTTCGGGGACTGGCATGGGAGATGCCAAATAGATGAAGAGGAATATTCCATGGTTGTTCGTTATATTGCGTCGAGACGCTGAGTGGTGGGTGTGGTGCGAACCTGACGGGAAGAGGGTGGGGCTAGCAGAAAATGCGGGGGAACAGGGTGCCAAGGCCTGCCACACCCACCCTCACTGGCTTCCCCAGAAAATCATCACGGCTGGTACGCTCTTCTTCTTTCGACCAACCTTGCATGGCCTCCCAGCCCTTTGCGGACCGCACGTGTGTGTTGGAGTGTGTGCCTGGAGTGTCTGTTCGGCATCCTCTCCACCAGTGCCGACGCGACGACGGCATAGCATGACGATGGCCCATTTTGCTGCTGCACACACGGACGTCCGGTCACACCTCGAAATTTGACGGCGAAGGGGTAAAAGAGAAATCTGTCGATGTCGGCGACGGCCCTAGACCTCACCGCTACAATCCAGCCCTCCGCGACAGCCCCGGCAGTGGCAGTCGCACCGGGATGGACCCCTCACCCGAAGGGCCCTGTCCTAGCCTTTCCTGTCGGCACTACCTCCCTCAGGTACAGCGTCGCGCGCAACACGACGGCATGACGACCCGACTGCACCCTGATGGTGACAAACCACGACGATGTTTGGTTTCCAGGAGCCAAACTCGAAGCAGGATAAGCACGTCAGGTTCAGGCCACTCTCGACCTCAACCACACTCGTCCGTTGTCTGGCACGGCCTCGAGATCTGAAGCTTGTAGTCATTGTACTGCCCAAGTACTCCCATCATCCGACTTTGTACCCTCTCATCCGGTGGTTGAGCCTGCGCCGCCGAACGACCTCATCCACCTCTCCGTCAAGATCGGCCCGCATTCCAAAAACTGATGGACCGTGTGTACGGAGGAGTTCAAGCTCGAATGCCGAAACTAGGATTCCCCAGAGATCGCCTTCGGCTCTTGAGGTTAGCAAACTGCTTCAACACCCCTGGTGGGACTCACCAAAAAACAAGCCGAAAACGTCATGCCATTGTATGATGCCAAATACTTGCCCGCAAACCTCACAAATCGCGGAGCTTGTTGGCCGGAAGGGATCACTTCCAGCCTGAGCGCCGCAGTCCCCCTCTCAACCATCTAAGCGACCCCGAACGGCAGTCCGTAGCCATCCCGCGTCCGCATCCTGCTCCGCACCTAGGTGAGTGGCGAGAGGGGAATGGCCCAGCAATCCGGGGCACCTTGCAGCTGGCGGCAGAAGCTGACCTGCGCTCCCCCGCCTTCTCCAAGAGCCGACGGCGGCAAAGCTTGCGGGAGGCGCAGCTCAGCAGCCATGCCGCGTCATTGTGTGTGTCCCCAATCCACACTTGAGGTGCTGTGGCTTGCCCTTCCACGTGCTGGCAGTTTGGATTGGGGCGCGACTTGGGGGGTTGGGTATGTTGCCCCTGAAACATGTTTCAGGTACCCTGTGCATCGACCACGAATCTGTTTCCACCACTAACATTCCTCACCTTGCACCACACCTACATGAAGCACCTTCCTGGTGGATGCAAGTGCGCTGCCCAAAAGTCCTGCTGTAAGCACACAGACTTATCACCAGAAAAGCTTCTTACCAACCCTCTTATTTCTGTGCGTTTGCTGGTTTTGACCCGGTGAAAACAACGGAGAGATGCAAGCTGCATCGACAATACCTTACATTACCGCTCGCACTTAAGTCCGTGACCTCACGGCCGGGCACGCGGCTGATCCAGCAGAGCCCATCATGCGGACTCCCGCTCGCACTGGCGCTGATGTTTGCTCCCTCCCAACTTGCTCAAACCACCAACCACCCTTCCAGAAGCACCTTTTTGGTTTCCTTTCCCGTCTGCACCTGTTCTCAAAACAGACGGCCGAGTTCGGCCCTTTCTCGTTTTAGCAGGGAGATGGCCCTCTCGCTATAGCCCGTGCCGGGCGGCTCGATGCACGGCCTGGATATGACGATATGTATAGCTGGTTTTGCCTACCAACCTGTGTACTAATCTTGGTTAAGCTGTGGAGCTTACCTGGCTTGCGCCGCAGTACAGCGCGGCTGGGTGTTGGTTGAGGTGCTGTAGTCGTCTTGTGTTTCCGGGTCCGGGGATGGGGAAGTGCAGTAGGGTAGTGGAGCGGACGGGAGGAAGAGAGGAGGGTTGAAGATCACACCTGAAACAGAGCGCTGTGCGGATTGACGCTAGAAGAGAGGGTTTGACCTTGTTTGTTGAAGCTGGGGAGAAGGTAGAAACGGTGGGAAACGGTGGGTTTGGTGGTGGTTTGGTGATATACCGCAGGGTTTTGGCGAGTATGGAGTCTGTGAGGTGGTGATTCTGGTGGGGTTGGTGTTTGTCTTCTTGTGCTGTCTGCGGGCGGTATGGCAGGCTGGCGGGGAGGCCTGAAACGAAAACATATGTGCGTTTGTTGATGAGAGATGTTTCTGGTAAGGATGCGGTGACGGTGATGGAGATGGGGCTTCCGGATGGAAGGTTGAGATGGAGTTTGTTTCAGTCTGATGGGTGAGATGGTGTTTCGAGACTGCAGAGAAGACGTCGAGGTTGCAGAGAAGGTGTCGAGGACTCTGCAAGGAAGGGGTGTCGAAGGAGGAGGGCTCGGTGTCTCCGTGATGGCTGGGCTGGTGGTTTGAGAGCTGGGGCGGGCGTTGAGCAGTCCAGGCTGGGTGATCTTGTCTCTCTCCGGGTTTCCATCTCGAAGCCCAAGCTATGGCGCCCAGAGACCGGCATCCGCCTCTGGTATCGCGGCACAAACAACCCTCCGTCCCCTTCGCCCGTCCCGTTGTAACGAGCTCTCCCTGACCCCCTTCCATTAAGCAAGGGCGTGTGGCTCAGTTGGTAGAGCGTTCGCTTAGCATATCCATCTGGAATATGCGAAAGGTCCTGGGTTCGATTCCCAGCTCGTCCATGGAATAACCTGAGAGAGCGGTGATATCTTTTTGCTGGTTGTGGGAAGTTTGTTTGTTTCGGTAAGGGTTGAGTTGTGATGGTGGGGATGGGATGGTGGAGAGGTAAGTGAATGTGAAGTTTCGCTCTTGGGGCTGGGTTAGGGGACGCTTTTGTTCAGTTGTAGCCAGGCGACAAGAAAGCAATTGAAGAAATATGTCTAGCAGTTGATGCGTTATCTTTCAATACGCTGCCATGATCTAAAACATCTGCGAATGATTGCGATTGCGATTGCGACATAATGTAGCCCCTGAGCTCCTTTTCTCGTTATCCGACCCCCTGAACACAACACCACAAACCCGGTCTCGCTTTCTCAACTCTTTTAACGTCCGTCTTGACATCAACATTTGCCAAAGACAGTATGTGCAGATAAAAGCAAGCTCCCATTTGCAGTCGCGCTGCACAAGATCGTAAAATGTCTTATCATGATTGAAGCTGACTTGATGATTTGCTACTCCCAGCCCTAGATCCTGGCGACATCCTCCACTCGGCAGTCATGGCAACTGCAAAAAAAGGGATCTCGTTCTTTGGAGTAAGTCATGCGTCAGCCGCGAATCGAACGCGGGGCCCATCGATGGCAACGATGGATTTTACCACTAAACCACTGAGGCCGTTGTGGCTTGTTGATGAAAGCTTCTTTGGAGAAGCACATAATGAAGTCTCAGGCAGCGGTGGGGCTGCAGAGAGAGCCCCGAACTTGAACTGCAATGCTACTTGGAGGAGGAATGGGAGGAGGGATGTTGGTGTCTGGAATCGGGATATTTCCAGGGCTGGGTACAATGTCTTGAGAAACGAAAAAGAAACAGACAGTCAGCGCCCCCCCCCCCCCCCCCCGGTGCAACCATGTCCTTGACTGGAAGTCTAGAACCAAGACACGGCGAGTTTAAGTATCCTTCCCAGATAGATATGGGGTGGGACGGCCTCCAGAAGCGTCCCTTTGTCATAGCATAGCTAGTCTCTCCATGCTGCGGCACTGGCATGCAAAACGGCACCAAAGAGCGCGCATTCAGAAAAACAAAAACAAAAAAAACAAGTGATACCCGCGCTCCGAGTGATGGGCAAGCCCAATTCACTGGTTCCGCCGCTTACGCTCCGAAGAGGATGACGTCCTGGTACCGTCGATGCGCTCCGAAGAGAGGGATGGCCCGGGAGAAAGGCCAAATTGATCTCCTGATACCGCCGATGCGCTCCTAAGAGGATGACCTCCTGGCGCCGCCCTGTGTTCACATACTGAACGTGTGAGTATCCCAAGCACTCGGGCAGAAATGGTGATTCGAACCAGATATGTCAAGGCGGCATCTGGGCACGCTAACCACAGCACCATACCCGGTTGTTTGTTGGTTGGTGTTAGAAGGTGCGAAAACTCGGTGATGTGCCGCTTAGCACCACGATTGTGGCCCCCCTGGATTGCAAAGGACTTTCAGTACAACCGGATCACCAAGGATCGGAAAGGCGTTGCATCCCTTGCTATTTTGTGCACCGACTTTGAGAGACAGATTTTCTGGATGTTGGGTTGCGAAGAGGGAAGGGGCGGTGCATGTCTGATAGGGTTTGTCAGCAAATTCCAGACCGCCAGAGATTCGGGCAGCTCTTCCTCATCTTGCCATTGAACGTTCAACTAACCTCACGGCCGAGAAGCTCACTCCTCGTTTTCTAACCCCCGCACCAAGACCCAGCAGCCCCAGCGGCTGGTCATGACCTTCCATGAAGGCACACGCACGCCAATCATCCCGAGTCCGTCACACAGCAGCCAGCTGTCGCCCCCGACGCCCGACGCCGGGTGCCCACCTACTGCCACAGAATTCGGAAATTTTCAGCCTTATAGCTTCTCCCGTGGAACCCTCCTGTCTATAAGGCCCCTGATATCCAAAACACCGGAGTTAGCAACTGTCTCAGAACTCGCCGACAGGCTCGGGCGGTGTTGGTGCTGACTGAAGTTCACGTCCGTTAGGATGACGGGTGGATCTCATCGCTCGCTCGATAGGATGATGCATCAGTCTTTTGGACTCCAGGAAGCCATGAATCCTTCCAACGCCTTCAGTGCTGAGCACGTATCTCCGTGGGCCAGACAACAACACGGCGCCCGTATTTGAGCGCCCGCGCCAGGTTCGAACCAGCCAACTCCACAATACCTCACCCCACCGCAAGCTGCGTCGATTACTTGCATCCGTATCTGATCTCCCGAATGTGCAGCTCGACAATGAGCTTTTGGCGTTGAGTTTGGAAGCAAAGGCCAACTCGGCTCTCGGGACAAGCCGACATGCGCACTCGGCCGCAGCGGAAGATTGCCGGCTCGCACTGATGGCCAATCACAGCTCAATAGAAGCGAAATTCGGCGTATTGACGGATAAGGCAACTTTAGCGAGTGCGAGGTGCATGGCGCGCCTGTCTAGCGACATGATCCCCTGCACCTGGGGGCTGTCAAACACGCTGAGAGCCGCCAACTCCGCTGAAGTCGGCGGACGGCACAGCAGAGCAACACGGTCGAACCTCCGTGCGCGCGTCTGTTGATGGCGTTTGCTACCTTAATTTGGTACTGCCAGAAACCAACCTGGATTCTGGCCCGAGGTCCATTCCCTCGGGGGCTTAGTCTGTTTCCGCCGCAGCGTTGCATTGCGATGGCACCAGACAAAAGCGCTGGAGCAGGATTCCTCCGACGGACGACATCGCTTGATTTTGTTTGCTCTTCTCATCAGTCACTCAACACAACGCCCCCGAAGAACGCGGGCGGACCCCATCTCGAAGGCCCGCTGAATGATGTGGTTGAATAACTGAAAACGGAAGCTGTCTCTGTCGTCCGCCTTCACATGGGTTTGCCGAGTGCGAAATCCGTCGAGAGGAGCAAGAGGAGCAGCAGGAGGACGTTTGCTGGTTTCTAATCCATCCGTCCAGTGTCGGGTGACTACGACAACGGACATCGTCACCTCACTACGTCTTTCCCCCTTTTGTTTCGTATGTCGGAGGATTCTGGCAACGAGTGTGTCGGTATAAGACGTGCGTGCCACTCGGCGCCGTCCAACGTTGCCAAGGCTGTTCAACAACTCCATCGTCAAACTATAACAGCATCTCCACTCATATAAGCTTCCACATCTCCATCATATACCATGGCTGTGGCTGGCGCGGAAAACAAGAGTGATGAACCCCAAATCACCGCAGACTCTTCGGGGGCATCGCAGTCGACCATGCACAAAACCGCGTTGGAAGCGCCCTCACAGGGCGCAAGCAGCGATACCACCGTGCCGGACGTCGCCCCTTTCGCTATTGAAGACGACAAGCCTGCTTTGAGGATACCACTTCCGCGCTTTATCCTGTTAGCTTCAGCGTGAGTGTCCTTCCCACAACGACATTAGCAGACCTACTCTCTGACACGGGAACACAGCATCTGTCTTGGCTTCTTCCTCGCTCTTCTGGACACCTCTATTGTCGCTACCAGCCTGCATGTCATCGCAATTGAGTTCCAAGATACGGAAACCATCTATTGGGTGGCTCTATCGTACACCCTGGCATATCTCAGCTGCGCCGTCTTGTTCGCGCGCATATCCGATGTCATCGGCCGGAGAGCCGCGGTCCTGGCCGCCTATGTCATCTTCATTGCTTTCTCACTGGCCTGTGGATGGGCTCAGAACCTCCCGCAGCTGATTGCCTTCCGGGCACTCCAGGGAGTTGGTGGATCAGGTACGTCTCTCGGGTGTGTCGAGAGAGCACCGAAGCTCGCGAAGCTGACAGATTCCTAGGCCTCTACAGTCTTACCATGATCATCCTCCCCGAGGTTGCCCCCCTGAACTATCAAGGTGTCGTCTCATCGCTCATCGGCATTGTTCTCGCCGCTTCGGGCGTCCTAGGGCCTCTCATCGGCGGTGTCCTTACCCAGTATGCCAGTTGGCGATGGGTGTTTTGGATCAAGTTTGTTGCCTCAACCCTCTTCCTGCAACACACACTAACGCTTTCAAGTGGACCGATCGGCGGAGTTTCAGTCGTCGCTTTCTACTTTATATGGCCTGAGCCCGAATATCTTCCCGCTTTCCATCCCCGAAAGTGGAAAGAAGTTGACTTCCTCGGCGCATTCCTCCTGTAAGCTCTCCCTCCCCTTCACACCCAGCCAGAAGCTGACATCACCTCTCAGCGTCGCCGCCGCAGCCCTCATCGTCTTCCCTTTCCAAAACTCCGGAGTAGAGGGCGGCAACTGGTCCTCTCCAAGGTTCATCGCCCCTCTCGTTTTCGGCGTCGTCAGCCTTACCGCTCTCTTCGTCTGGCAATGGTTCGTCGAACGCCGCTGGCCTGAGAAGTTCGCTTCCACCCTCCCTATGGTGCTCCTCCGCAACCGTGCCTACTCGGCCACCGTCATCCACGCCACTCTCACTGGTTTCCCCTACTTCGTTGCCATCTACACCTTTCCCATGCGCTTCCAGGTTGTCAATGGCAAGAATCCGTTCGAGGCCGGGTTGATGCTTCTTCCGATGCTGGCAGCTACAGCTCTGGGGAGCTTGATCGCCGGCGCAGTCAATGGAAAAGTGCACAAGACTGCGGAGACAATGGGATTGGGTGCGACCTTGATGTTGCTGGGGTGCGCATTAGAGACTACGGCGGGGACAGGGGTAGCTGTGGAAGGAAAAGTGTTGGGTTTCTTGGTGTTTGTGGGTGTGGGTTTTGGGTTGGTGGCGGCAGGGGGGACGATGAGTGGGATTTATACGAGCCCTGCTAGGGAGCATGGTGAGTTCTTTTCTTATCACTTGTTGTTTCATTCAGCGGTGGTTCGCGATGGAAGGGCCGGGGAAAAGAAGGCCTTGGATACCAGCGCTTTCAGGGGCAGTTGAGGGAAAGATGGCTCTCGCCGAGTTGCCAGCGCAAGAAGGCGTGTTGAAGCCTGTTTGCGGGGATTTGCTAACATCCTTTTAGCTACCGCGCAGGGAATCATCGCGCAAGTCCGTGTCCTCGGAGGAAGCATCGGTATCGCCGCTTCGTCCGCCATCCTCAGCGTCGAGGCACGCAAAAGCTTGGGAGGAGGAGGTGTGAACCCCGAGTTGCTCTTGCACACTGGGGGGTCCGTCTTGACCCCTGAGCAGCAGGAGGGCGTGAGGGTAGTGTACACGGCAGCGCTGAAGAACGACATGATTGTTTGCAGCGCGTTGCTGGCAGCTGCAGTCGTGGCTGCGGTGTTTGTGTACCAGAAAGGGAGGTTACCTACCGGTGAGGTAATGAAGAAGAGGGTGGGAGAAGAGATAGCGAGAGTGCGAGAGGAGAAGAGGAGGACGATAGAGCTTGCGATTGCGAACGGGGAGCTCCAGGTGAAGCCGCCAGCCGGTGGTGCTCCTAAGCAGGAGGTATGATTGTTGGGTTAGGGGGTGGGTTTCTCTTGTGTTGATTTATTGGTCGGCTTGGTCGGTTTGGTTTGTGTCGACTCAACTTGACCTGACAGGTCTATGTGTCATGCTTCTGCCGCAAAGTTTTGTCTGGATATCGACAGCGTGGGCATGTGGCAACATGTCTAGCCCCGAGTCTATGCGGCATAGGAGGCGTCCGCTTCAGAGTTACGGACGGTGTTTGGCGTATGGTCCACGGAGAAAACAGTCCTTCTGTGACAAAGGTATTGTGCATCTAAATTTGGCGCTCTTCGATTCATACGTAGTTAGTTACTGGTTACGGAAAAGTAGTGTCAATAGAGTATTTCTCCATACGTTGTTAGCTCCACCTTGCACGAGGCTTCAGATCACAAGATAGCCTCGTGAGCTTGTCTTCTTCGGCGGGGCTAAAATTGCAGTGAAAAGACCTACTTCATGCGCGTCGTCAGTCTAGGTAACTAATTTATGCGAGACATCGACGATTGGGCAGTAGCTTGCAGTAGGCAGGCGTAGATTTCGCTCTCTTCCACAAGGCTAGATGTGGTGGTGGTGCATGGATCGAGGCTTGAAGATCAACATAACATTGTCAAGGCCAATCTTCGCCTACACTTCAACATCCGTGGAGTCCCGATCCCCAACCTTCTGCCCTCTGTCGGGGCTAAAATTGTAGTGCTAGTGCCTTATCAGCTATCAATTACTGATGGGTTGACAATGCAGCCCAACGAAAATCCAGATCATGCCATAAGACATGTGTTAAGACAACACTGTATGTGACAGACACTCTCCTCGCGCCTGGGTGCCTAGGTGGTAGCTACTGTTTTTTTTTGCTTGTACTTCAGTTAACCCATGGTTCAACGGCACTCGTCAACATGAAGACCATGGAAGTAATTCATGTTAACATGAGCCTCCACCTGAGGCAGCCTGAGAAGGCACCCCGGCAACATTGGCCCTTGAGATGAGTCTCGTCTCGCCGTGACCATCAACGACATTGAGGGAACATTAACCTCAACGATACCGGTATAGAGCCAAGATTCCAGCAGGCTCTATACGGCATCATCTCTTCCCTTGAAGCCCCATTAGCATACCCATCCGCGCGTCGCCTCCTTATGGGCATTCTAGGTTCCAGTTCAAACACCAAGGTGCCTGGGAGAAGCTCCATCTATCACGCAGCCTCAAGTCTTCACAAGACCTCACTCCCTCGCGGAGGGCTAAAAATGGAGTGATTTTTTTCGGTCGGGGCTGGGCAGTTGTTTCCATTGACTTCTGGGACTCGGCTGTGCAATGCAGACCCATCCCACAGTTTCCTATCACCTTCCGTTTGTAGGACGTATTTCCCCTGTGCCGAACAAGATCTACCGATGTCACACTCACAATCAGACGGTGAATGAGACCAGGCACTGGGGACAACTTGGTGTTGGAGAGGCGGAGCTTGAGGTGTATGGGGAAAGAAGAAGGGATTCAGTATTAGTTGGAAACGAGGAAATGAACAGCAGGTCTCTAAGGTTAGAGAGAGCCTCAAAGAGCAAGAATAAGTGGGAGAAAAAGGGTATGGGGGCTAGATATGGAAGACTCGGAGCCACCTCTGGAACCTTGCTTGGTAGAGTTGTACCTAGAGAATGGGACTAGCTTCGGGCCGTGAGATCTCACCCCCTCAAACGGGCAAAAATTGTAGTGATGTTCTGCTTTGGGGAACCCATCTCCAAATTTCCCACGCGCGAGGATTGAAGGGGGCGCAGCAACGCCAAACCCATGACTAGGAGTCCGCCCAATCAACTTCGTTCTTACTCGGTGAATATACAGACGATATAGCATCGCCGAGCACCTGAGGTAGATGAAGGCTGGGGGTTATAGGGGGCACTTGCTCATCGAGAGGCGGATGTGTATGTACGGGGAGAATAGAAAGGGACTCAGGGGACTAGTTACAAACCTGGCAGTTGACGGCAGCTCTCAGAGTTCGGAGAGCGCCTCCAGATATGATTGACGGGTGGGAGAAAAGGGGTTTTGAACAGAGATGAAAGACGAGCCGCTTCTGGAGTTGTGTCTGTCCGTGGCAGGTATGCATGCCTACCTTCAGTGTTGGTGGTGATCTTCTCAGGGGCAGTGGGGACCAGCTTCGAGTCGCGAGCTGCGTAACAGGATCCAATGATAACTCATCCCAGCAGCAGTGGCGCTACATGGCGACAGGGGGAAGAGGGGAGTGATATGGATCTTAGAATGGGAGCAGCCACAGAGCACGTCCAACTAGTGTAAGGGAGGGGAGAGGCAGTGCGAGGCCCTGGTGGGAACAGATGCGTGGTTTAGGGGGTTTGTGTTTACGGGAGGAAATATAATGGTGGTTGCTGGGGCATGTTTGCTGGGAGTAGATATATCACCGTTTGAGGTGGAGAAGTTGCTTGCGTGAAGGGTTGAGGTCAAGGAAATGGGTGGATACCTTAGCTGTGACCACTGGCAGTTCTGGATGGATGGGATGTTGGAAAGCTGTCAGTGGGAGAGTGGACAATGTCGTTATTCCGCAAGGTCGTTGGAGATTCGGGCGGCGGATTCGGAGGATAGAACTAGGATTCGGGAATAAGAGGCACGCACGGCATGACGCAACTTCCCTGGGAGGTGCCTGCCAACGTCCCCCGCAGGGCGTGGGGATACCCCGCATTCGGGGGGTAACGCCATCTTAGCGGCTCAAACAACACTGGACGGCAGCGACGTTTGAGACGGAAGATAATATTATCGGAGTTAATGAATAAAGCTCAAATAGACCCGCGTCTGCGTCCATGATTTCAGCGGCGCGAACTATTCTCGCATCTAAAAACTTATTTCTCGCCAGAACCCCCTCTGCAGCACCACTCCTTGTCCCCCTATTCACCAAACGAACCATGACTTCGGCCATTGCGAAGCGCCTCGAGGGCAAGACGATTGTCATCACGGGTGCGTCTTCCGGCATCGGCCGCAGCTGCGCCTTCGAGTTCGCCCGCACCCAGCCCGACAACCTCCGTCTGATTCTCACCGCCCGCCGTATCGACACCCTCCGCGATGTTGCCGCCAAGATCCGTGAACTTGTCGGCACTGGTGTCCAAATTCTCCCCTTCCAGCTCGATGTCAGCAATCCCGACGAAGTCGGGTCCTTTGTGAGCAACCTCCCCGAGGAGTGGAGGGATATCGATATCCTAGTAAACAATGCGTATGTATTCTCATCAATCTCGCTCATAGCTATCTACTGACGTCTTTCTAGCGGTCTCGTCAAAGGAGGTGAATACGCCCTTCCCACACCCTGATACGTATTCTGCAATACTCACCCACCCACCCACAGTCGCAAAAGCCCCTGAAATCGCCGAAGAAGACATCGACATCATGTTCAAAACCAACGTAACCGGTCTCATCAACATGACCCAAGCCATCCTCCCCATCTTTAAGAAACGTGCCGACGGCGGCGCCGGCGACATCATCAACATCGGTAGCATTGCTGGCCGTGAGCCCTATGCCGGAGGCAGCATCTACTGTGCTACCAAGGCTGCTGTGCGCAGCTTTACGGACAGTTTGCGGAAGGAGCTCGTCTCGACGCGGATTCGCATCATGGAGGTTGATCCTGGGCAGGTGGAGACCGAGTTCTCGGTTGTGAGGTTTTATGGGGATAAGGCTAAGGCTGATGCTGTTTATGCGTGAGTTTTGTTTCTTCCTCATCATCAAGCTTTCTGGGCTGACATTGGGCAGTGGTGTCGATCCCCTGACGCCTGATGATATTGCCGAGGTCGTGGTGTTTGTTGCCGGGAGGAGAGAGAACGTCGTTGTGGCTGATACTTTGATCTATCCTAACCACCAGGTAGGTGACAGGCACACATTTGGCGTAGGGAAGCAGCTGACATTTTTCATAGGCCGGTGCTGGAGTATTGCACCGCAAGTCATAAAGATGATTTCCCCGGTGTAGAGCTAACTGTGAGAAGACACGAGATAGAATAGAATATCATACCAGCACAATAATTCGCGTCCCCGGCCCATGTGATGTTCGCAAAGCCGACTCCATTCTTTTATTACGTTTTTTCCTTCCCCGAATAATCTTTAATTGTGCCCTCAATCGCAACAAGAACGGGGATGCCCGTAGGGATTCACACCCAGCCCTAACCCTCAATATCTCGGCTACCATCGGCCCTCTTTGACCCCACCACGCCGGCCTAAAGGCCATCAACCACTTTCCCGACCCCCAGCCAATAACCAGCACAAAATGGTTGTGTAGTGTAGTGGTTATCACTCTGGATTTTGACTTGATGCTTGCACTCGATCAAGCTTCCAGTAACCCCGGTTCGAACCCGGGCACGACCTCTTTTTTTCGCATTTTTTGCTTAGTGCTCTCATCTTCCTCCTGGACAGTGGTCAAATTCCTGCTCATTCCATCGTAAACAGCTCGTCAACTGTTTTGTCGCTTCCGGGACTAAGTGGCAGGCGGTTGACTGATGGATTGCACAAGTGCACCCAGATCGCAACCGCGGGTCAACAACATCGTCACCACCTTGCTGTGTTCTGGCTGCGCTGTTTCAACCCTTTCCCGAGCGTCGAAATGTGGATGCTGGGGTTTGCACATTCAAGAGACAAACTGAGTGCTAATTCAGGAGAGACTCGAGAGGAATAATCCAAGTAATCGCTAGCAGCAAACTCGCTCGCTGCGCCAATCTCAATTCCTACGCTCAAACAACCCCTATCTAGGTCTACCGGTCTACTATATGCTGCTCAAGATCTTACGCCTTGCATGCCATGCGGTGGACTTGTCCAATCCAATCACAACAAAACAATGTTGGTATCTCATGCTGCCAATGCGCCGTCCACCACGCCCTGACTCGACGCCGATATCTACATCATATGAGTGTCAAGACATCCACCTCTAAAACTTCTCTGAAAACTTCTCTGCCACTGGTGTCGTCGGTCCTTTGGCTTGTCGCGACATGCTATACGGCGCCTATTTCATGTTAGCACCACTGCTACAAGTTCACGAAAGAGATAACTCACCAAAACCTGCTTGGCGTTGCATATCCTCCACGCCAGTTTCCTCACGTTCCCATCCGCAGGCACCACACCAGGCGCAAATTCGATGCCAAACATGTGACGGATTGCATACACAACTCGCCTGGCGTACTTGCTGTCCCTCTCCACGTGGCTACCGAACGGCTCGTCAACCGTATTAGGGGCGATGTCGGGGTCGCAATCGAGACAGTTCCTGACGATGGGGAGTAGCGCAGCCGCAACAGCAGCATCACCTTGAACGCTGCCGCTGGCGACGGTAGATGAAGCTGAGGAGGCCTCGCTGTCATCGTCTTCCTCGTCGTCGAACTTAGGGATTTGGACCTCGAAGGGATCCGAGATGGACATAACGTGGTGGCCGCCGCTGTGGTGGTAGCGGAATTCGAAGACGCCCTGCGTCCACCAGAGCTTATCACCCTCGAAGACCATCTCGCCTTCTACAAGGCCCACGTCGGTGTATTTAGGGATCGAGAGGGGCTTATCGGATGAGATGATTCCTTGGTCTGTGGTGGTGTCGTACTGGCCCGGGCAAGTTGGTACCCATCGTCCGAGGGAGGGTACTTCAGTAATGTCTCGCGAGCGGTTGTCGGTTACCATGTACAGGCCGATCCAGTCCTTCTTGCTGTGGTTGGCGGGAGCTCTCCACTTGACACGGATTGGTGCGCCGTATTCGAGCACGAGAGTCTTGACAGCCTTGGGCACGCGCGCACTGTCGCCTTCTTTTCCAGTTGCCTTCTCATTACAGCCAGTTGCCAGAGTACCCTCCAAAGAAAGTTCGTAGTGCTTGGGGTCGTAACCCGCAAGGTCAGGGGAAATCCGGCTGAGTGTAAGACGGGTGGGGTACTTGTTGAACAGAGCGGTTGTATCCCGAACGATGGACGACGACCCAGAAGCGAGTTTGGAGCGAGCGGTTTGTACAAAGTCGTCGACAAAGTGCCTGCTATCGTCGATCACCTTGTCGACGCCCTTCTGCCACTCCTTGACGGGCTCCGGAAGGGATCGCTTGATGAACTTGGTCAGCCCAGCTTCCTCGCGGACGTTGCGACCATAAATCTTTTGCATGTGGGGCTTCTCGACGATTGAGATGAAACCAAGGGTGAAGAGATGACCGATCAGCGCGAGGGCGAAGATAGAGCGGCTCCAAGTGATGAGGGCGGCACCCCAAAGACCGGCAGTGCCGATGACGCGCTCTGGGTTGTTGAGGAAGCGGTAAATGGACGTGTACGTCAGCTTTCCTGTGCTATCGAAGAAGAAGTCACCGTAGAACCAGCCGAACTCCCCGAGAGACTCGTAGATGCTCGTGGCAGTCCAAACTTGAAGCGCGATCAAGCTGATGCCAAAAACGTGCTTCAACAAGACCCAACCGTAACCCCAATCCTCAGGCATGTCGTACATCTTCCAGCAGGCTGCGACGAAGGAAGCGTGGCAAAGCGTGTTACTGAGATGGTACATGCCCTTCCACTGCCGCCACGCCTCCTCCGCGCTCTCGCCGAACTTCACAAAGTGTCTAGTGAACATCTTCTCCTCGGACTGTAAGGTCAAAATGACGCCCATGCCGATAGAGTACCACAGGCGCCACAGTAGCGCATGTGCTACAAAGATAGCTTGCCATACAGGAGTGCTAGGTGTTACAATTGTGAAGGCGATGAGGTAGCCCAAAAGGAGAAGGACTGAGTAGTCGATCGTTCGGAAAAGGTCGAGATTCTTGAAGCCCAGGAGGTTGTGCACAGGCACTGGTGCCTCCCTGGGAGCGTCAGAACTTTCGTGGTTGCTGCTGATCTCCGACTTCATCGACTCGGCCCGTATGCGCGGAGGAGGCGGGTTGTACGTCTTCTCGATGTGGGGATTCTCGACGATGGCCAAGAAAGCAAACTGAGCAGCGTGCGCCAGGATGGAGATGAAGAGCACATCGTAGCTCGCCGCCATCATGGATATGCCGTAGTACCCGGCATAACCGATGGAATACATGGGATGTGGTGCCATCTCGAATACGCCATCGAAAGTAAGCTCCTGGTCAATGAGGTAGAAGAAGTCTGCAACAGTCAGCTGCCGCCTGATAGTCTGGGAAGAACCAGCACTTACCACCCCAGTACCAGGCGTAGTCCTTCACAACCCTGTGCGCGTCAAGTTTGACCCAAAGGTTGAAACCCACGAGGGCAATGCCAGCAGCCCATCGAGAGATCGTCGTGATGACCGCTTCACCCTCTGGGCGGTGGCCACACACAATGGCAAACAAGCAATACGAAACGAAATCGCACATGAGGATGAGATCTACCACCCGCCGGAAAAGCAGCCAGGTGTTATACTCCAACGGCGCGTTGTCAAAGTTATAGTCCTTTGGGATCTTTGTCTCGAGTTCGACCTTGAGGAGTTTGTACAGCCAGGGTCGAGTGTTCTTACCGTTGGCAGGATTCTCGAAGAGCTGCCATCTCTTGGCCCACGTAACCAAGAGCTTGTACTTTGACTGGACCGTCAACAGATATCCGATTCCGACGTTGTAGGAAGCCCTCCAGAATAGAAAGATGGCAGCAAAGACTGGGCGCTTGAGGTTCCATGGCAAGTAGCACGCGGCGAAGATGTGCAGGGCGAGGATGGCGAGCACGATGACATCAGACAGGTTCTTCGGTTCGCGGGGGTCGAGCAGCTGCGAGACCATGTCGTGGGTCGTTGGCACAACGAAGACTACGGATTCCCCCTGGTTAGCCAATCGACCGATACGTACGCGCGCCTCGGCACATCAGCACCAATGCACGTCGAATCTCGACAGGATCTCGTACCCGTCCCCCCCGGCGTGCGCCCATACGTCTTGGTGCCTCGCGACACTCCCTTGGGGGCGTCGGCGGGCTGTTGAGCGCCGCTGGCCGAGTCCCCCTCGGCCTCGGATAGAGCCGGCCCCTGGTTTCGCTGGCGGACACCGTCCCGCCCGGCCGATATGTCGGCAGAGGTGCTCATTCTCGGGTGTTGAATCCGTGTCTGAGTAGGTAAAGATGGTGAGGGAGGGAAAAGGCGCGAAGAGGAGGTCGGGATGCCGCAATAAGCTTAATCATGACAGAAGAGCCGATCACGCGACCCTAGCGAATTGCAAACGAGGGGCAAACACTGGGTCTTTTTTTCGTTTCGTCCCGTGGTGGGATATAGGATTGCCGATTCAACTCCGTAAAGCGGGCGGTCCTTTATCAATCGCCAAGGAACCTTAGCGCTGTTTCGCATGCCGTGTCTCTCTGCTGTTGACGCTGGAGTGAAGCGTCAGTCGTTGAGGTTGTCACCGAGTCCACCGCTGTCTTCGTTGGTGTTGGAAAGCTGCGGGTAGGCGGGCGATGGATTATTTACGTCAAGGAAACCCCCAGAAACGACTAGGGGTCCCTGAATTATTTTCTTCACATGCATTTCTGGGTTGTGGGTGGTTTGCGTTATCGACCAGTCAGTGACGAGCATTTTCGACACAGACGCGACCCGCTGCACCGGCATCCTCAGCCGGCGGTGGAAAGAGCGTTGAACAATCGGGGATATCGCTGGGCAGTTGCGGGTGACGTGTCTCGGCACTGCGGCCAATGATCTGGGTTCTATGTCTTTAGGGCTCTATTCGGGGCATGGGGTGCAGTGGAGATGCGCAATTGATTCGCTTTCTCGCGTGCTATCTCGTCCGTGACGGCTAGCATCCGATGGGATTCTCTTTGAAGTTTCAACCGCCGCCCAAGCGGGCAGCATCCGAGATCGATCCTCAAGATAAACATTGACGTTGTGGCCCCTCGCAGGCAGGGGAGCTGCAAGGTACCGGACCGACGCCCGAGTTCGGCATCGCCTCATCCGTCAACCACACCCAGCAGCGCGCAATCTGCATGTTCGCAACCCCCGCCATCCCAGGCGTTTGATTGGCCTCGGGCGATCATCTGGATGTGCGAACCACGAGGGTGGGTGGTCTGCAGGTGGTTGACACTGGTTCTCAAGGTCCCGACGATTAGGCTGACCGGACGCATAAAATCGCGGGGGACACTGGAGGTTTCCCAAGGCGGTTGTGGATGTGTCTCGCGTCTGCAAGCGGTGGCATTATTCTGACTTTTGCCGACTCGTCTCGTCGAATGCGAAGCCGTACCAGAACCCCTTATGAGGATCTCCCTATAAGGTGACACGATGAGCACAAATGGACAGCCCACCTTTTGTTTCTGCTCTGCTTTCCTTTCGTCTTACTTCTGTCTCTGTATCCCGTTCTCAAAACCAATAGTAACCCAAGCGTATAACCTTACTTTCTCTCCCTTTCCCTGTTCCTTCATTGTCAGCACAGCCTTACCGTCCCATATCCCGCCATC